TAGTAATAATAGCCGATTTTAATGGTATCAGACCCACAAGAACAAGGAAGGTGAAAATAGTACTTACTTGTGGAAGTCTCTGTTTAAGAGACTTCTAGCCTTTATGATCTTCTCCTTTCTCAGTTCTCACTTCAGTACTTGCACTCATCTGGCTTGTAAGAAAATTTAGGAGAATTCCAGTAGGAGAAGATGATGACTGGTTAGAGCTTTAAAAGGAAAAGGAGAGGCCTTTATCGTTCGAAACATTTTAATCGTTGGAAAGAATCGCGCGAGAAACCATAAAATGAAGGTTAAATGTCAGTACTTCAAACTTTTGCATAATCTTTATCTTTTAATTTTTTTTTACATATTTTTTATTTTTTAACTATAAAAAAAATATATTTTTTATTATTTTCATTAGTTAATCTATTAAATTTATTAAATATGCATATTTTTAATCCCTTAACTTAAAATAAGAGATAAAAAATATGTATATATTAGAAATTAAAAGTTAAAAAAATGTGCATATTTAAACAAACTTAATGAATTAATTAATAAAATGATTAAAAAGTACACTTTCTATAATTGAGGGACAAAAAAGTGCATAAAAAAGTTGAGGGACAGAAATTTACAAAACCTTAAAGTTGAAAGACCAAAATTGGCATTTAACCTAAAATGAAAAATTGAAATGTCGGGTAACCAAAGTTTTGATTTCGATTTCGACCAACTCGACCAATGCCCAATTCTACTCACAACAATCTGGATAAAATCCTAGGATTCTTTCTCTCCCAACCAAACATGCCTTTTTTCTAGAAAAGAAAACTTATGCACCTTCTTTTGAAAATGAAAATTAAAATAAATCTCTAAAAAAAATATGAATTCTCAATGAAGACTGAGAATAGAGAGTTGAACAATTTTAATTGCACATAATAGTTCAGGTGAAGAATGACTTACAGTACAGCTATTGTGATGACAACTTCGACTAGAATATTTGCAAGACTTGAGGTTAGACCTCAAGGTAGGCACGTTGATGCTTAAGTCATAATATAAGGGATTTTAGTAGGGGTAGGCTATTCTACAATGAAAACTAAGGATGTAATGAATCCATCTGAGAATAGTTATAGCCCTCCAAGGTTGCTTTCTACATAGGAAATTCCCTTTGTTAGTCTTGTAGTACTGCAATGTATTGTAGCTCCATAAAGGTCCATGGATATGCATTAATTCTTGTGTCAGAGTATGTAAGACAAGGCCAATCATGATGCCATCCATTAGGAATGAAGGTCACAAGGAGATATGGGGTTATTCAATTGGTTGTTCATCCTTGGGTTAGATGTTCAGCCATTTACCTGATGGTGGTGTTCAAATTGGTCCCTCACACTATTCTCGCCCAGTGGTGCCCTAGTACTCAGCCATTTATTTTATTTTATTATGACTCTTGACCTCATCAAGAAAACTTTTGAAACATGGTCATTTGGGTTTGTCATGGCTTGCAACTAAACAGAAGAGCTTAACCCTTGGTCGTCGAGCTTTTAATGGCTTGTGGCCAAATAGAAAGGCTTTCAACACTTGGTCTTGCGCTTTTAATGGCCTGTGGCTCACCATAATAGCCTTCGACCCTTGGTTGTTGAGTTGTGGTAAAAATAAATGTTATCATTGTTCATTTGTTCATCTAAAGAACTTGTTCTTTTAAGAAACATTTTTGAGAAATGTGCTTTGAGAGTTTTAGAGCTTGCATTAATTTGACAAAACATGTAATTAATGTGTCATAATGACTTAGTTGAGTTGTCTTTCCTCCTTTCCAAGCTGATGGCTCGAATTGAGTTAGCTCTGGCAAGTTGAAGGTGTAAAGTTGTGGCTTGTGTTGTACCTATGATTTTGATGATTACAAAACACATTTAAGTGACTAATTGGTTTATTTAAGTGTGTAGTTAAAATGTCAAAAGATTGCAAAATAAGTAAACTTGGATTGCACTTAAGAATGGACCAGAAAGGCTTGTGGAGGTGCAGAGAGCCAATTTTGGAAGCTGCAACTGGCTCTATAGGTAAATATTTAAAGGTCCGTTGTTTGGTGCGCATGGAGAAAAGATGCAAAGCAGGCTCCAACTTTGCAACCGGTTGTAAGGGTGCATTTAATGCATAACGGTCGACTTATTTGAAGAATAATTAATATTTTTAAAGTCGAAATATCAAAACCAACTTTACATTTTTGCAGTCAGCTGTCCAAGAAAATAGAATGTTCAGCAAACCCACAAAGCCGGCTTTGTGTTTTGCAGCCGACTCTATGGAGAAAACAAAATGTGCAGAATCCCACAAAGCCGGCTGCAGAAATGGTGAGCCGGCTATGCAGAGCCGGCTCTAGGAAGTTAAGCCGGTTGTCCTGACAATCCTGCAACTCGAGCTTTGCGTCCTGTAGAGCATTTAATGAACCCTAATGGCTACAAACGGCTATTTTCGAGCAAGGGGCTATAAATATGGTTAGTAACAGATCTGAAGAAGTTTAGAGAGCATTGCATTGAATATCTTTACCTACCTACATGAGCTTTAACTTGAGTTTTTGATCTTTGAGAGATCTTTACTTGTAATCCTCTTC